ATTCAGAAAAAGATGTTGAAATGTCTGAAAGGTCAGAGAGAGGCAGGAGCGTATCGGGAGATGGAGACGGAGACCAACAAGACCTCCCTCATCCTGGGCCCTATCTCAAAGAATTTTTCGAAATAGTTAAGTATTTTTAAAGCACATACTTTTTCACTTTTACTTTAGTAAAGAGGTCAAGTTGATACTTCAACTTTTACCAGAGTGTTGTTAGTTTCTGTTTGAGCTATGTCCATGGTTCATGTCGCTGCTCTCGGGGGCCAGTGCGTAAAAATGGTGTTTGTCTTTGTCTCCTGGTCGTGTCCAGGCTCTTCTCCACATAAGGAGGGAGCTTGGGTTCTGGCTCTTCTCCACGGAGCCCGTTCAGCTCTATGTGTGGGGGGGGAGTCAGTTTTAAGTCCCGTGATCTTGGCTCCTGCATGGAGCCAGTTTAAAGTTCCTCAGTTTCTCCCGGTACCATGTCTTGTCTCTGTTCCTCTCAACCACTGGGCCTGCCTGTTTCCATCTCAGCTTGTCTGTCTGCGCTCGATCTGAACCTGCCTGGGCCCTCTGTGGATTCCTGGAGCCCTGGATCTGTCTGTTCCTGCATGGATCGGAACCCCTGGTTGGGCTATGGATTCCTGGATCTCTGAATTGTCCTGTTCTGAACTGTTTCCCTGATCTGGATCTGTTCGCTCTTATCTGGAATTGCTCACTGAGGTTAGAGGATCGGGGACAGTCTGGACAGCTCAGCACTGCATCCTGCCTTACCCGTGAGAAGGGACTGAACTGTTAATCCAGGTAAGTGACTCATACTGATAATCATCTTTAGTAAGATTATCGTAGTCATTTACCTGTGTTTTTTCGACCAAACAGAGTGCCAGTTATGGGTGGTGCCCCACCTCCCCTTGCAGCCCCTGCATGTCCGCACATCCACAGAAGCCCACGTTCTGTTCTGTTTGTTTATTTTTGTCATTAAACGTTTTAAAACATCCCACTGTCTATCTTACATGAATACTAGGTCCATCTGCCCTCTTTTATATGTCTATAGATATACATAGACATAGATATCAAAATATATGGCATCAGCTGTGATTTTTTTGTGTGCAAAAGATGGCAAGGAAGTATAAATTGGTTCTGCAGGTAATTGGACATAAATGTGACAGTAACAGGATTCCAGGTTAAAAAAGACGAAATATACAGAGTGATGCTTAAACGTTTATTTATATTTTTGAACTCATAACCGATGTGTTTGGTCTGATACACCTTTTATTTGATTGGGGACTTTTCTGTATGCATGTGTTTTTACTGATAAATGAGCTTTTAGTATTTTAACCCTTTATTTCACAATTTGAGAGAGACACTGAAAAAAAAGATGAGTATGTTCCTCATTTACGAGAACTCATGCAACAAGGTTACAGCACTCACTTCTTTGTTTCGATAATCTTGTTGATCCATTGAAGATATTTAGATATGTCTGTATACACATTAGGCACATCAGGGTATTTGCAGTTACGGTGTCTGTTGAAGGACACAACACCAACAGCCATTCCTTTGCATACCAAAGGACCACCAGAATCACCCTTTAAAAGACAGAAATCTCACTAAGTTTTATAATTACAATGATCACATGATGATATACAAAAAATTATAATTTACTTGACAAAATCCTTTGTTTGTATTATATCCACCAGCGCAGATCACTTTGGGAGGAAGACCAGGCCCCCAAATCTTTCGACAGAGTTGTGGATTTAGGAGTGAAACATTCACCACTCCCATATCATCTACTATAAAATCCTTACTCTCAGTTTTACCCCATCCTGCTACAGAGCAGATCTCACCCTCCTTCAGCTTTATTTCATCTTTTGGAATCGGGAGTGTTTTCACCAATTTCTTAAGAGGAGCTTTTCCAGACAACTGAAGATACAAAAAAATGACACCAACTTACTAGATATTTACAAAATATCACTTTACATATAACTTGTGTTACTTACTCTAAGGATCATAAGGTCATCACCAAATCCGGCAGATATATAAGTTGGGTATTTGCACATGTATGTAATGTTCAATGGACTAATATTCCACTTCCTTAGATTGTGGGTTCCCAGAACAACATGATCGATTTCTCTGAAAATTTGAAATATGAAATCCTTAAAAGAGAGCCTTTTTACTGTTAAGAGTAAAGAACAGACACAGAAGAGCACCCTGGACTCACTCAGCACTGCAGTGTGCAGCAGTGATTACAATGTCCTCGCTGACCAGAAACCCTCCACACACATGACCCCATTTGTTTTGCACAGAGACCATGTACAACATAGAGTCGCTTCTCACTTTTTCTCCATGTATGATGTCAGCTCCATGGACTGAAAACAGAACAAAAGGTTAAATATATGCTCTGTGAGACAGAGTAAAAATCTGATGATATCTTACCAATTTTAAGGCATGCCAGAATGTAGAAAAGCAGAAATGTGCTCAGACTGTGCATGATGCCAACAAATTAAATTTTTGTCCACAAGAGTGTAAATCTGGGTCTTTTATACATTTTAGCAGGCAGTCATTATCTTTAACAATCTTTGTTTTTAAAGCCACATCCCTTAAGCTGACATACTTTCAACTTTTCTCATCATCTTTGAGCCCACAACAGTCTGGGTCAAAGTGTCTTCAATCTATGAATATGAACGATTCTCACGATCTTTTACATAATTTTTTTTTAACCTTTCCGATCTTGTTTTCAATAATAAAAAAAAAAAACAGCAATAATTTTATTGCTTTTTTGGGGGATTCTGTTCATCACAAACAGAACTATATTCTTGAACAATTAGTAAATCTGTATAATCTATTCCACGAAAAATTTAACTATCTAATTAGATTACAATGGGTAATTCAATAAGCAATTAAGCTTACCATCAATGCTTATGAGAAAAGGGCAAAATCATCAGCAAACAATAAACTAAAGTGCTTTGAGTTGAAACATATAAAATGAAAGAAAAGTCCCTTCAGGGCTGCGAGAGGTCATACACCTGATGAGACCTCAGAGGAGAACAGAGGAGAGAATCCTGTTACCACTCAGTTGCTGAGACTGTACAACCTGCAAATGTGGGCAACCTCAATACCATAAAAACAGTGCAGCCCCTAACCTAAAATACGAGCTTCATTACAATTAAAAATTATGTGATCTCAGTACAATATAGTCACGTTTTTGGGTCCTTCAAATGCCATTGATAATGTTTCTGTTACATCCTCTGGAAGACCTATAAGTAAATTAAACAATCAAATAAGTAAATTAATCTTGGTCCAGAACCTTTTTTTTTTGGATGAAAAGCACCAAAGGCTTTTTTGCAATAATTATGCAGTTTCTCCGAAGAAGAGGGACTAAGAGACTGGAGAGAGACATCAAAATGAAACAAAAAGTAAACAGTTCTAAAAAACAAGGACTCTTACTCCATAAGAACCTAGACCTCTTCTCTCTTTGATATTTTCCTAATAGCGTTAAACCAGTTTCATTCAGTATGGAATGTACATTTATGTGAAAAGCTAAGGGGGTTGGATATCTTACAGTCATAAAGGGAGATTTAAGTAATCAGAGGTCTTTTGCTAATGTGCACTAGCCTGCCTGTGATGGTATACGCTGGGTATGGGTTGCTGTGCCGTGCGGGTGGTAAGGTGTATGGCGTCAGTTCCTGTTGTTGTTGTAATAGTAGACCTATATCCTGTGACCTCCTCAGGCTCTCTCTGTTGCTGCCAAATAACCTTTTCAGTTAGTTCTGAAGTTACTCTAATGGTATAGCAGCACTTTCAGACACACTTTCTACTACTGCACTACTTAGCACTTTTCGCTTTCATTCTATCTTTTTGCCGGTGGTAAGGTGTCACTGATCCTTGTGCTGGGTAGGCTAAGCCTACCCTTAAAAGTACACAGAGTGTCTGCCTCATGGATTAAAACTGGTAGTTGGTTCCACAGGAGAGGAGCCTGATAACTAAAAGATCTGCCTCCCATTCTACTTTTAGAAATTCTAGGAACCACTAGTAAAC